CTGTTTTTGTTTGGTTCAAGGTGGTTCAAATGATGAAAAAAAAAATGGTTCTGTAAATAATCCAGTAATGGAGGTATATGAAACTATGGCTGGAACCTAATAAAAATGATTATTATTTAAAAAAAAAAAAAAAAGGTAATTGCTTAAGATAAATAGAGACACAAAAAGAAACTGTAAAATCTACTGGATTAAACTTCATGTTTCAACTTTGACCAAACCAGGGCAGTAAAGATAACAACTCAAATTTGCTAAAAATGCCCCAACCCCACAATACATTGATAAAAAAAATGAGTTCTTAATTCTAATTTTCTTTTCTGGTGGGGGAATCCCCCCCCAATGTTGACTCCATGGCTCCACCATTGGACTGAACCTTCATGTGTGCACACAGTGAGGAATGAGGAATTATTAGCAGCATATCAGGTGTACTCATCTTTGGTTTTACCTCCTAATAAAGTGGTTTAAATCTAAATATCTGAATGCAATGTTGCTGTGCTCTGGGATTTTTGTGAGTTCAGTGTGACCATAACCAATAAAAATGACGGACAAAACTACAAAAAAAATACTCAAGCTGTAATAACCCAGGATTGTCATTTAAAGCTGTCTGCTACTGTAGGGTGAAAGCGCTTATAAATGATCACCGTCTTCAATCGAAACATTACCTCTCCCTCCTCTCAGCACACCTCCTCAAACTCCTCACTACATTTAATCAAAGGAAAGATTAACAGAAGACCATTTTTTCTCTTTAACGGCCTTACGGTATCCATTTCTTTTTCTCCCGTCGGCATTAGCGTGCCTGTCACGTGTGGCAGCCACAGCGTGCGTGGGAGGAAGACTGACTTCGCATGTGCATGTGACATCAAACTCATGAGCAGAAATGGGGCTCTTTTATCAATGAATGAACCATATACACAAACACACTTATCGTTGTGAATCTTAATACACAGCAGCTGCCTATTACAGACTGATTACCAGCCTATCAGCCCCTGTGTATGACATTGAATAAGCAACAGCCATCTCATTATTGATCCACAGATGAAGAGCCTGAACCTTAGAGCAGGCTGCATGAGAATCTCCATCACAGATCTGCTGGAAGTTTAATAGACATTTCCAGCAACATCCAAGCTGTGATGTAATGAAAAAAAAAAGCCTCAGCATTAAACTAATATGTGGTGAGATGGATGAGTGTTGCTCCGTGGTTTAGCTGGTGGGAGTAATAGCTGGTGTGGGGGCACTCATTGGGTCCGATTCCCGCAAGGCTCCCATAAATAGTCAATGTGCATCGATTGCAAATGGCTTCAGATGAAAACCCCGGCTAAATGACCGTGGTGCCATTATATTAGTGGAATGACAAACAGCAAAACAGATATCAAGAAGCATGAAAGCATTTCTGATTGATTGTTTCAGCCTTATAAGAGGTTGAGTCTATGTGTGCTTGTGTGCCCTGCTTGTGTGTGCACGTGTGTTTGTGTGTTCATCTATTGAATGACAGGGTTGTTATTGGCTGAGTGGGTATTTAACAGTCGGTGCGTATCCACGCCATGCAAAGCCATGCAGACTGTTTCGTCAATCCCACTAAAACCCTCATTAAAGTCATTAATTGGCTGGAGCCAACACACACCTGAGTCCCTTGGTTCATCTCAGGAGCCTGAGGGATGACAATATAATGTGTACACTGTGGACAGACCTCACATGTGCCTCTGATTACGCTTATAGGAAACTACTCCTCTATGTAAAGGTGAGGGCATCAAATAAGTGGTAGGGAAATAAAATTCCTTGCCAAGAGTTAGATGAGAAGATCAATACCACTCTCATATCTGTGCACTAAATTTGAAGCTACAACATTTGGCTAGCTTAGCTTAGCATAAATACTGGAAACGGGGAAACAGCTAGCCTGGCTCTCTCCAAAGGTAACAAAAGCTCATTTGACACAGAGATCTCACGATATGGCCGCTATGAAGTCCCTGCATTACGCCGCCTTTGCAAGAATCAAACAATGCCAGCGCCATCGTGCTGCCCCAGTGTGTTTTTAGACAGCATGCTGGCATCCCAGATCAAAAGAGGCGTGACGGTCATGACGGGTAATATAAAAGTGTTGGCCTTTAGTGTGACATAACACGGCAGCACTTTATAAACAATAACACTAGCATAACATGGCAATGACAATCATTTACCTCCTCTTCTTTGAGTTAGCTGCTAACTGCTTCTAGCTGCTTTTTAAATCTCCTGACGATGGGTAGTACACGTAACACCTTCTCAAAACACCACACCCTTCCCGTCCTGCCAGTTGTCCCTTTTACGTAGTCGTCAATTCAATGCTGTTACCACCTCAACTGCCGGCTTCAGCGCGAGACAACTCTGTTCCCCCACTCTGTGATGGAACCTGTTATACAAAACGGCGAGGCAGAATAATGGCGTGATTCTGCCTTGAACAAGTAGTGTAAAAGGGGTTTAAGTCTGACGTTGTAGTTTTACTGCATGAAAACTATTTCCTGACCAGCCACAAGGACTTCCTGCAGTCTTTAAATAATCCTGCTCATATTATAACCTTTCACACAACCACAAACTGTTGTTCTGACACTTTAACTATAGCATGCTATAACCTTGTGTACAAAAACAAAGGAGATAGAGTGTTAAGTGGTGAGTGTTATGCTATATTCAGACCACCGTTGACAAAGCAACAGGCTACAACTTATTTTCAATGAAAGTTGGTGACACAAAGCCACAAACTGACACTCGACACTTGTCGTACATGATGCACATTATGCACTACAAATCAAATTTAAGCTGGCCTCATTTCTTTTTCAGCACTCCAATGATGCAGTGAAGTATCAACTGATCATAAGTATTTTTTTCACCATTTTCAGTCCCCTTCTCTCTGCCACAGCATCATCAGACATACCATAATTATCGTATTTGTATGATAATTTTGCGCTTTATATGATGTTTGATCAGTAATGCCAAAAACTGCCAATAAGGACAATAATTTGACCCAATAATTTGTGACTTACAATAAGCAGTTGCTTTTAATCTGTGCTGTCTCATTTTAATTCATTTCCCAACATGATCAGGATAGCAAAATATGGATTGTCTCTTTGACCTCTTTCCAGCCAACCATGCTTGGTGTAGGCTGTGAGAAACATAACTGGTGTCTTGCAAGGACAGCTGTCACCGGAGCTCGAATGTTTCTCCTACAGTATGTTGTGTTCAAGTCCAGGTGTTCTGAATGCACCAGTTAGCTCAGTTATTTTTAATTAGCTTCTTGAGGACTTAACTGTTGTCATGCAGAATATAAACAGGCTTCCAGTCGTGCTGTCTTGTAATATAATTTTGTGATTATAGACTATTAAAAAAATTGTCAGACTGATGCACTTATACAATCATCCCCCCTTCCACACATCATGGCTTCATCAGCTTGCTTTTGAAAAAAAAAAAAAAAAAAAAAAGTGTTGAAAACGCATTTAAATATGTGTTTTGAAAAATTTTAAACTTATTTTTTCTTGTAGTTATGACTCGCTTAGGAAAAAATATTTCCCATCTGGTAATGCTGCTTTCCAAAAGTTTCTTTTCCATCCTGTCAAAGATCCGGCAGAGAGCACTGGCAATGTTAACCGTCAAAGGAATTGCCATTCAAAACTAAAATAACTTTTTGCCATCCTCTGCGACGGAATTTATAACTGGTTATTTCATAGCATCATCACACAAGATGAAAGCGTGGGCGATTTGGACAACTACTTGACATTACTAGAAAAATTCTATCAAATGATGAACATGAAATAATTTAATACAGTTTATTCTACTCTTTGTAAACAATATGGCATCACAGTCGCAACATATCATCGTGCATGTTTCGTTTTACTCTCCTGCCATTCCATCGCACTGTTTTTTGTTTTTCCTGTGCCATCCAGACAGGGTTTTCTGTCTACGGTCTTCGGTCTGCCTGATTCCACAAAACACAGCTTTATTCTTGCCCATAGCCAAAACAGCTGGTTGTTTAGCAGTAAATTGTTGATTTAACAACTGTCATTTTGACACTAGGCTATTTCACATCCTCTCAAAGTGTTTGAACGCTCACACAATCCCATAACGAGATAACTACGTCAACAAGTGCTTGGCCAACAACAAGTCGTAGTTGGCCACGCTGTAGCTTCGTTGTTCATAGTGTGAACATAACATTACAGGGATGTCAAACTCATTTTAGTTCACTGGCCGCATTCAGTCCAATTTGATCTCATGTGGGCCGGATCAGTAAAACCATTGCATAACAACCTGTAAATAACAAAGCCTTTGTATTTTTCCCTTTCTTTTAGTGTGAAGAAGGAACATTACAAGTAGTTTTCTGAAATCAATTAATGATCAGTCCATTTACAACACAAATGATGAAGATCCTGAGATGAAGGCTGACGGATGACAAAAAGAAAAGTGTGATTTCAATAATATGTTTGTTTTTCAGTGAGGTAGCTAGCTTTCACAGCTGTAGTGTTGATCTCTCTGCTAAAACTAAAACCAGACTAATGTTTCCTCAAACCTGCCAACAATTCATTTGGCTTTTCTGTTTTTAGTTGTCCTTGCAAGTTGTTGTATTTTTCGCCATGATGAGTTTGATAGTGGTGATGAATATAATAGTACTTCAGCGCTGAAAGGTGCTGTGAGCATACTAAGCACACTTGCTTCCTGTTTACCTCTGTGAACACATAGGAAGTGGTTCATTTGGAGTCACTGAGTGGGCCAGATTGGACCCTTTGGCGGGCCAGGTCTGGCCCACAGGCCGTTTGTTTGCCTACCTTGGTTAAAACAGAGCCAGACTAGCCGTTCCCCCTGCCTCCAACCTTTAGGCTAAGCTAACCCCCTCCCAGCACTCGCTCCATACTTAACTCACAGACATGCGTGTGGTATTTCGAACTCTTCAATGCCAAAAACGCGCACACCTGCCTGCAAGTTAGTTTGTGTCAGTGTGTATACAGGTGTATGTCTGCGTGTGGATGTAAGTGCATGTGTTTTACCTGAACTTCCCGTGCATGGTAGGCTATGATGAGGCCCAGCAGTATGACTGTGGACAGGCTGATCAGACACTTCAGGGCCAGAGAATACATGGAGCTCTGTGGAGAGAAAATGAACACACACTCTTAGGAACATGTAGCACAAACAAAATACACATTTCAGGTGAATTTTGCCATGATTGATGTTTTAATAACCAAGACAAACAACATGTATGATAGATCTCACACTAACAATAGTCCACCTTCTGTCACAAGCCTGGTTCAACTTGGAGCAAATGTCACCTCTGCCAATCCTCTGCTAAAATGGCACATGTAGGCTACCATAGCTGCACCGCCTCAGTACAGAAAACAAGAACAAAACAGACTTTCTAACACTGAGCAGAAGTAGAATAGTAGTAAACCACCCGTCAATATCACTGCAGCCGAGCTTTAAATCCTCTGCTTGTCTGGTTTCATAGGGCTTATAATCAATGCACTGGGGAACTTCCAATCGATACAACTCATAGCACTTCAGCGGCTTCTTTAACCCCCTCACCTCACACACTCAGAGCAAAGCAACGAGTTATCATACGCATGTGCGCACATGTATACGCAAACACATCTGTACATAAGCACATTTACACAAGACACACACATCTGTACACACTCACATGAACACCTACATGAAGAAATACAGATGATATCGCAAAAAGCAAACATGTGCTGAGTTGGTTTTGTTCGCTGTTCACGAGTGAATTTATGTGTTCATTTCAGAATATATTTTCACAGCATGTTTGGTCATGTGTGAGCTAAATGTGCAGTGGGAATGAATAAATGAATGAATCATTTCAGGTGCCGTAACATCATCAGAGGGGAAAAGGAGCCAGAGCACCAGGTATGACGTTTCCAAAAAAAAGAGGTTAAAAGGCTGAGATAACAGGAAAGCATGCATGTTAACAATTTATACACACCTTATTTTATTTCTTTGGTAAGTGGCCGCAGGGTATGTGACTTAATGCCCTGTGAAACACCACGGTATACCAACAAACGAAAGACCCTGTGAGGGAACCTTCTGTTATTCTTTGCTTTCACCTCATCCATAATTGTCATGCATCAGGAAACCTTGTTAGCCATGCTGGTGGCATGGCTCTCTGGGGATGGCGATGTCAGTCTGTCTGTCTGTCGGTCGATCCATACATCTGTTGGTCAGCTCACCACTTTGGTCCAGACTGAAATACAACTATTGGATTGTTTGTCATGAAATTTTCTGCACACAGTCATGTACCACACAGGATGATGTTTCATCTAGCACCACTTTGAAGGCAAAGGTTTCACTCATTCATTTATTCTGATCACTTGGTGATCCCCTGACTCTTCAGTGCTACTGGCAGGTTGACATTTATGACTCAGAGGTAAATGTAATGACAACTAAAGGATGAATCGCCCCAACCATTGGTACAGACAGTCATGTTGCCACAGGATGAATCCCTCTGACTTTGGTGATTCCCCTGAATTTCCCCTAGTGCTACCATGACGTTGACATTTTCGGTTTTATATAAATATATCTGAGCAACTATTGGATTGATTGCTGTGAAATTTGGTACAGGTAGTCATGGTCCCCAGAGAATAACTCAGCAAATTTTCAAAAAAATAGATAGTGACATTTTGCTTGCTAAACATCAACATGGAAGTCTGTATTTTTGTACTTATTTTGCATGCCTTTTTAAGTTTTTAAGTTTAAATTTTGAAATCTTTAATCTGACTATTTCCCCTTGACTGCTGTAACACTGGAATTTCTCAGTTATGAGATCAATGAATGTATATCTTATCTTATCTTCTGACTGACTACATTTACATGCACACTAACATTCCACTTGTATTCTGAATGACAAAATTCTGAATTTGATACCGGTCATGGAAACAGCATATTCCATTTGGCTAAATTAGGCCTTGCTCCAAATAAAAAAATACTTTCCATGCAAGACTTGTGGGATATGCCGGATTTTAGGAACATTCTTTGGACGTGTACTCAACCCATGTGGGATGTGCCTCTCAATTAGGGTTTTTAACCACAGTTCACGACAGCATCTTGCATGTTTACGGTCAGATCTGTGCATTGTCATGGATGCGGTGTAGTTTATAAATTTAAGTTTATTTACTTTATTAATCCCCCTGAGGGGAAATTCAATGTTTTCACTCTTGCTTGTCAATTACACACAGGTCCGAAAAACAGTGTACACAAACAAAATACCAAACATTTGCAAGGCTCATGCAGAGATGGATACTGAAAAGAAAACCCCCCATTTCTGGTCAAAGGGAGAAACACACCTACTTTAAACATTATGACAGACTTGGATATCAACAGGTTTTTGTATATGTGCAAATGTCGTAACGCCGACCTTTTCAAGAAGGTGGTTGAAGGAATGAAAGAGGGAGGCTGTGTTTGCATGGTTGCAGAAGTCCTCCATATATTTATACACACACACACTGGCAACTTAATACAACTGTTCAATAGATCGTAACACAAATAGCTAATCAGTCAATCACGTGGCAGCAACTTGATGCATTTAGGCATGCAGACATGGTCAAGACAACCTGCTGAAGTTCAAACCGAGCATCAGAATGGGGAAGAAAGGTGATTTAAGTGACTTTGAACGTGGCATGTTTGTTGGTGCCAGATGGGCTGGTGTGAGTATTTCAGAAAACTGCTGATCTACTGGGATTTTCACACACAACCATCTCTAGGGTTTGGGACAAATGGAGCAACTGAGCGATGCTATCTTGTCAATTTGGACTAAAATCTCTTGAGGAATGTTTCCAGCACCTTGTTGAATCTATGCTACAAAGAATTACAGCATTTCCAGGAGTCCAACCTGTAACTAGCATGGTGTACCTGATAAAGTGGACGCTAAGCTACAGATATATAGGAATAATAAAAATAATAATAAGGAATAATGATTCCAAACAAATACAAGCAAGAAAAAGGGAGAAACTTCTCCAAGGATGTTCAGACATTTAATAGGTGCTAAGTCATTTTCATAGATAACAGGTTACGGTTAGAATTAATTTGCTAGGGACTATTTTAAGCAGCGAGTTAATATGCCTTTGGTGTTCAGGTGAGTATCTACAGCAGAATGGTGTATGAGGGAACCTGGAGCCATGATGTGGCTCACTGATGTGTTGTTAGAAGTTTTGGATAACAATGGAGCTCTATGGCACAGATGAGTGAGATATGTCAGGTTTTGGCCACAGATAATGCTTTTAAGTTTGATTAGTTTATTGTTGGTTTTCACAGGATTTGTTGATAATAAAAAATACAGACTTTTCCCTTAAAGTTTGAGAAAAGAGGAAAAATAACTAATAAAAACTACACACACCTCAGGTAAACCTACAGTGTTTATTTTTTCGTCGGCTCTGTGCGTCTATTTATCATAAAAAAGGATGAATAAGATGTGGAAGTAGATTTTATAGCTCATTAGCTTTCAGGTGTCATTTATCAATTTCTCATTGAGTATTCCTCACATTCCGCCTGCTCCTTGGGTCATGTTTCTCATTGTCATTCATTCACTCATCTTTTCCTGTTTAACTTTTATAAATTCACCTCTCTTCTCGTTTCAGATACTTCATTTCCTGCTCTTGTGTGTTTCCTGCCTGCGTGATTGTCTGCCCCACCCTTATTAGCTTCACCTGTCCCTCATTATCCTTCCTCCCTAGTGTATTTACACTGTGTGTTTCCCTCTGTCTGTGCCAGTTCATCTTTGTACCCAGTGCCAAGTGTTCCAGGAGTACCACCTTTTTCACCAAATTAGCCTTGATTCTTTAACTGGTTTCGTTCAGGATTCTTGGACTCGTGGTACTGTCTAGCAAAGCAGCTCGTGTTTTGGGCACCATTGTAATCCAGGATGTGTCATCAACGGAGGGCGTTGCAAAATGCACAACTGAAGTAAACAGTAGTGGCAAGATGGCAGATTGAGCATGGACCAGCTATTAATGAGACCACTTTTTTTCTGATGATCCCTCACCTAACAGTCAGCAGAATTAAGTGTCTAGATAAGCTCAGGGCTACTGCTAAACCTCATGAGAAGGCAATGTTTATGGTTTTGTGGTGAAGACTTCAATAAAGCCATTGTTGGTGAATGGCACCTGAACGCCTCACCATCCTTCCTTGAGTGGTCCAGACTGCCAAGCTAAAATTATTGTTAATAAGCCAGCGTGTTCCCAACTACAGTTCGGAGCCGGCAAGCTGTCACTGAGAGAGGTAACAAATATGACTTGACCAAAGGTGTCGTCACAGCTCACAAGATGGAAACCAACTTTTCAGGTTCCAAACTAATTTTTTTGCTCGAAATGCACTGAACAGTTGAAATTTAGGTGCAGGAACCAGAACAAAACTGGTTCTATGTTGGTGGGAAAGAGATACCAGTGTGAGTGTTTCTGGTGTTTCACCTGTTACCTGTGTGCTGAACCCTTTTTAGGCAAATAAAGACAGTATTTTGGATCAAGTTCCTGTCTCTCAGTTGTGCTGTTGCCTGTGGTATCTCCAGTCGTTACAGCGTTTTAGTTTTAATATTCTGTTTCAAAAGCTTTTTCAACCTGTCAAATATTCTTTTGATGTTTTAGATTCTGCATACAGATGAAAAGTGTCAGGAATCAGCCGTGAAACAAAACATTTAGTTTGACTCATTCTCCACGCTTTAGAAATAAAACTAGCTGCATTCAGTGCTTTCGTTCCTAAAAGCCACAACCGCTTAATGGATTCATTTGTCTACATCGGATCAAGGACTATGTGTGAAATGCAGAATACAATACAGCAAAAGCCCAAAGTGCATTCATATTTGAGATAACATCAACAGCCTGCTGCCCTCCTCGTGAGAGGAGAGTTGAGCCACCTTAAGACTGCAGCGTCTTGCATCAGATATTTCAGCTGTTAAGTAGGATGCTGTTAAGCATTCATCGCCAAACAGTCTCTTAATCTGAGCGTGCACTCTGAGTTTAGACACATATTACTCTGCCTTTCCTTCATGACGTTATTTAGCAGAATCTACATTGCGTTTGGGGTTCATGAATATATATTACGAGTCAGCCTCCTGGAAAATAGAGTGTGTTAGTGTGTTACTGTG